ATATCAATTTGCATTCAAACAAATTAAATATCGGTGGGTAAAAAAAAGTTGTTGACCAAAAAGCAATTGGTTCTTGTAAAGTCTACTTTTTTGATGATTTTTCGGAGTATCTCCGCCAAATAATGTCAGATTTTGGAATTTTATACCATTCTAAGCTCGTAAAGATCAGAACTATCGATTGGCATCAAAAAATTGAAAATCCAAAATTTCACCCAAATCGACCAAAAATCACGTTTTTTCTCAAAACCGGGGTTGGTTCGAAAATCATAATTTTTTTCATACTTGTTTTTGGATATCTCGGATAAATATTGTCGGATTTTTAAATGTTATGCCTTTTTGAACTCGTACGGAGCCCTTATATCAATTTGCATTCAAAGAAAATAAATATCGATGGATAAGAAAAAGTTGTCGACCAAAAAGCAATTGGTTCTTGTAAAGTCTACTTTTTTGATGATTTTTCGGAGTATCTCCGCCAAATAATGTCCGATTTTGGAATTTTATACCATTCTAAGCTCGTAAGGATCAGAACTATCGATTGGCATCAAAAAATTGAAAATCCAAAATTTGACCCAAATTGACCAAAAATCAAGGGGTTACATCACGTTTTTTCTCAAAATCGGGGTCGGTTCGAAAATCATAACCTTTTTCATACTTTTTTTTTGGATATCTCGGATAAAAATTGTCGGATTTTTAAATGTTATGCCTTTTTAAAATCGTACGGAGCCCTTATATCAATTTGCATTCAAAGAAATTAAATATCGATGGATAAGAAAAAGTTGTCGACCAAAAAGCAATTTGTTCTTGTAAAGTCTACTTTTTTGATGATTTTTCGGAGTATCTCCGCCAAATAATGTCCGATTTTGGAATTTTATACCATTCTAAGCTCGTAAGGATCAGAACTATCGATTGGCATCAAAAAATTGAAAATCCAAAATTTGACCCAAATCGACCAGAAATCAAGGGGTTATATCACGTTTTTTCTCAAAATCGGGGTTGGTTTGAAAATCATAATTTTTTTCATACTTTTTTTTTGGATATCTCGGATAAAAATTGTCGGATTTTTAAATGTTATGCCTTTTTAAAATCGTACGGAGCCCTTATATCAATTTGCATTCAAAGAAATTAAATATCGATGGATAAGAAAAAGTTGTCGACCAAAAAGTAATTGGTTCTTGTAAAGTCTACTTTTTTGATGATTTTTCGGAGTATCTCCGCCAAATAATGTCCGATTTTGAAATTTTATACCATTCTAAGCTCGTAAGGATCAGAACTATCGATTGGCATCAAAAAATTGAAAATCCAAAATTTGACCCAAATTGACCAAAAATCAATGGGTTATATCACGTTTTTTCTCAAAATCGGGGTCGGTTCGAAAATCATAACCTTTTTCATACTTTTTTTTTGATATCTCGGATAAATATTGTCGGATTTTTAAATGTTATGCCTTTTTGAACTCTTACGGAGCCCTTATATCAATTTGCATTCAAAAAAAATTAAATATCGATGGATAAGAAAAAGTTGTCGACCAAAAAGCAATTTGTTCTTGTAAAGTCTACTTTTTTGATGATTTTTCGGATTATCTCCGCCAAATAATGTCCGATTTTGGAATTTTATACCATTCTAAGCTTGTATGGATCAGTACTATCGATTGGCATCAAAAAATTGAAAATCCAAAATTTGACCCAAATCGACCAAAAATCAAGGGGTTACATCACGTTTTTTCTCAAAATGGGGGTTGGTTTGAAAATCATAATTTTTTTCATACTTTTTTTTGGATATCTCGGATAAATATTGTCGGATTTTTAAATGTTATGCCTTTTTGAAATCGTACGGAGCCCTTATATCAATTTGCATTCAAAGAAATTAAATATCGATGGATAAGAAAAAGTTGTCGACCAAAAAGTAATTGGTTCTTGTTAAGTCTACTTTTTTGATGATTTTTCGGAGTATCTCCGCCAAATAATGTCCGATTTTGGAATTTTATACCATTCTAAGCTCGTAAGGATCAGAACTATCGATTGGCATCAAAAAATTGAAAATCCAAAATTTGACCCAAATTGACCAAAAATCAATCAAAAAAAATCACGTTTTTTCTCAAAATCGGGGTCGGTTCGAAAATCATAACCTTTTTCATACTTTTTTTTTGATATCTCGGATAAATATTGTCGGATTTTTAAATGTTATGCCTTTTTGAACTCTTACGGAGCCCTTATATCAATTTGCATTCAAAGAAATTAAATATCGATGGATAAGAAAAAGTTGTCGACCAAAAAGCAATTTGTTCTTGTAAAGTCTACTTTTTTGATGATTTTTCGGATTATCTCCGCCAAATAATGTCCGATTTTGGAATTTTATACCATTCTAAGCTCGTAAGGATCAGGATTATCGATTGGCATCAAAAAATTGAAAATCCAAAATTTGACCCAAATCGACCAAAAATCAAGGGGTTACATCACGTTTTTTCTCAAAATCGGGGTTGGTTTGAAAATCATAATTTTTTTCATACTTTTTTTTGGATATCTCGGATAAATATTGTCGGATTTTTAAATGTTATGCCTTTTTGAAATCGTACGGAACCCTTATATCAATTTGCATTCAAACAAATTAAATATCGATGGGTTAAAAAAAGTTGTTGACCAAAAAGCAATTGGTTCTTATAAAGTCTACTTTTTTGATGATTTTTCGGAGTATCTCCGTCAAATAATGTCCGATTTTGGAATTTTATACCATTTTGAGCTCGTAAGAGCTGACCCTTTGCTGAAAGCAAATTATGTATTGCCCGCATAGACAACCACTCGACAAAGTAGTCGAGTCTTGCGTAATCCGTTTCGTAATGTTAATGTATTGAAAAAGCTGTGCCAGTGCCAAAAAGCAAACCAGGACAGAATTATGACACAAAAAAAAAGCAACTATGAGTGCTGTAAGCGGGTGTAATCGACAAGCAGATACCCTGAGACCAGCAACAACTACAATTTTGAACTGTGCTTTTACTTGCCTTCGCCTCAGACTTAAGGCAATTCTTTCTTGAATAACTTCGGTGCTTAGAGTCCGATCTGTTGTGAACTTTTCAGGGCATGAGAAAGCAGAAGTTGCTTCCTTCTAAAAAGGCATTAGCATGTGCAATAATTAATCAATTAAGATAAGCATAATTACGGTATTTAACATACGATATATTATAGAATAATGTATATCGACTACTTATCGATATTCAGCTATTAACAGAGGAGGAAACCCGAATGAAATAGAATAGAATAATAGAAGCTCATTCACAAAACCAAATACATGCATATCAAGCTCGTCAAATTTTGAAGTTTTGTCTAAGAAAAGCAGGTAATAAAATCGATTTTTATCGATATTTTTATTAACTTTTATAATATTTGCTTCATATTATATTTAAAGTACATATAGTTTATAAAAGCAAACCCCTCATACCCTTTTAGCCCATTGTCAATGGACTGAGAATAAAGCAAGCATGTGCCTAAAAAAATAGATGTGTAGATCGAGACGAAAATACGTTGGATTTGAACCAATATTCAAGTGCACACAAAGGACACGTCGTGCTGTAAATGATTATGGGTTGGGGAGTGCTGCGAGTTGGTTGGTTAGCTTTTCGAATGGCTGCGATAGATAGGACACGTATCTAATAAAATGGCTAGCACGCGTGTGTCCCTCGTCCTTTACACACACACACACACACACACACACACACACACACACGCGTAGTCTAATGTGGCACAAACTTCGATCTGGCACTTGCAGAGCTTGCACACGGACGCAAATATTTGGCCAAGTTGGCAGCGCTCGCTTTGTGAGCTCATTAAATTTTGTTAAATGTAAATATGTGTGCGTGTGTGTGTGTGTGTAGATGGAAGAAGGAGGGAGGTGGGGAGAGGGGGCAGCGTGCAACACGTAGCCGGCATTGGCATTGTCGCAGCCAAAGGACAGCCGGGCAAATGCACTTCCTAGCACACTTCCTGTTGCCAATCGCCCCAGATCCTGCTCGTCCTGCTCGTCCTTGCGAATTTATTACGTGCAAATGTAAATAGCGGCACGTGCAGGCAGCCCATAGTCAGACGCAGACCCCGACTCGCAGCCATTCCCAAGATGAATGCGCGACCGCGTCCTCTGCTGGCAATAAAAATGTTGTTGTCGCCAAACAAAGGCGAGGCACACACACTCAGAGAGAGAAAGAGAGAGAGAGAGAGAGAGAGACGCTTTGTCAATAGATAAACCATCTACAAGATACAGATACTTTGCCACAATATGCAATATTTGGTTTATTTGTTTGCCAATACTCCTTTTCAGCTTGGCTGGCATTCACTTTATTTTTTAGCCGACAGCAAATTTGACAGCTCAATGCAAACAGTAAAAAACGGAGACCTGATGTGCTCGAATTTGTCGCATTAGCTCAAACAGGCTGGCTGGCCCAATAAAAGGCAAATGAATGCATTTGCAAATATCAGGTACTCAGTTGCATACTGAATCAGTTGAATAACTGGGATAGTTCCCAAAGCAAATACCTATTCGATAATAATGAATGAATGCAAATATTCAATATAAATTTATCGACTCGATACGAGAGCAGCTTAAGGCAAATACAAGCAATGTGTACATTTACTCGCTCACATTTACAATTAAACGGTATTCATTTGGTAGAGTTAATTACCCAAATGCACTTTAAGAGTATATCGATATATATTGTTACATATGGGAATATTTCGATACATATATCGATAAAAAGAGCGATCCTTCAGTCCTACAAAGATCAAAAATATTATAGACTGTTTGAAGAGCTGTAGAACTACACCCAAAACACAGAGAAAGAGCAAAGTCTTTTAGTCTCAATCATTTTTAAATTAATCAAAAATTTAAGATCTAAAGAGTTGCATTTCGTTGAAAAACGCTACCGATAGGCAGCTGGATGAATCGCAAAATTTGTAAACAAGAACTCGCAACTGGTAACATTTGCATAACTCAATTTTCACTTAACCAATTCACAGCGGCCAGTGAGGAGAGTCGAGCGACAAGTCATCATCAACCGCGTAAAGCAATGCTAATGGGAACTAAAACAGGCTTATGATGATGATGATGATGGCCCAACAAAACGGCGACCAAAGCGCCAACAGCATTCGCAATCGGAGCAAACTGTATCGCAGCGAGAACTTCAAGTTCCAGAATATCATCAGTTGGATGCCGAGAGTGGGACGACGGGTAGAGCGACAGCGACAATTAGAGACCATTAGCCAGAGGCAGACCAATCAATCCATATTCAGACAGAAGCTGGCGCATTTCCGATTTGCGGACACGGGCGTGGGCGTGGCCAATGGAGGCGGACGATTGCAGCTGTTGCTGTTGCTATTGATTTGCAATTGCATTGGTAAGTGAAAAGTGCAGTAAGTTTTTGATAAATAACCAGTCATCGATAATTGTTGTTGTTATCGAGCTATCGATAGCTGACACATAACGATTATCGAACTAGCTGTAACTATCGTTAATATATATTTAACATTTACTCTATTAAATGATTTATCAATAATTGTATGCATTGCGCAGAATGTTTAGCTTGATAAATAATCAATTATCGAAATTTATTATTGTTATCGGGCTATCGAAAATTGTCACATAACGTTAATCGAACTAGCTGTAACTATAGTTTATATATCATGTCAATAATTGCATTCATTTAATTTTTATCAATATTTGTCGATATTTATCGACCGATAACAAGACGCTTTGCATTGTTCTTGCTTTAAATATATTGATTGCGCTGCACTATCGATAACAATATACAAAGACAATGAAAATCGATATCGTCTGCTTGGTTTTTTTATAATCTGCCATATTAATCGATATTGGTTTGATTTTTGTTTCGATAACAGACATTTCACTGTACATTTTTTTGTTTAGACTGCCGATATGAAAAGATATATACAGATATATATTTAATCCAAAAATTCGTTAACTGTTCAATCAATGTTTTTCTCTTCATGGCAATTAACCATTGAAATGAAGATATTTCCGTTTCAAACAAAATCTCCTCAGTGGGCGCCTTCGAGCCGGACTTTGTGATCCCATTGGAAAATGTGACCGTTGCCCAGGGCCGGGACGCGACATTTACCTGTGTGGTCAACAATTTGGGCGGTCATCGGGTGAGTGGTGACGGTGCGTCAGTTCCAGCCAAGGTATGTATCGGTTTTGAAAACGCAGCGTTTCAATTTATTACCAAAAAAAAACGTCTATCGTTTATCGTTTTATTTCTCGTTTTCGTTCACGATTCGCACCAGTTTCACAGTTGAAAGTGCACAGTATTTTTCAGTATATTCATTTTGAATCCGATAATAAATAATATGCTACATAAAAAAAATAATACTGCACAACAATCACGATTATTATGTAAAGCGCACCTACCTACTATATATATATATTATATTTAAGTAAATATATCATACTATATATTATAAAAATAAAAATATATATATATATAAATATATATTAATAGCACTCTGCATATTTCAAGCACCAAATGCACTACAAACAAACCAAAAAAAAAAAAAAAAAAAAAGAATCCTACAATAATTTCGACTAATAATACCAACAAAAAATATCTATATACAAAAGAGAAAGTAAATACCAGAAAATACCATCAATACCAATTGGTTCAATGGAATATACAAAAACAATAAAAAAGTATCTGTACATATGCATAGCCTTATATTCTTTTTATCATCGTATTATTATTAGACCTCGCCTTTAATTTATAACACGCAAAACGCCAGCGGCGAAAGAGAAAGCAATACATCGGGAGAAAGAGATAGCCAGCTGTATATATCTATATATTTACGCATATTTAATAAAGTACACGAGGACTGCGCCAAGAGGAGTGTTCGCAATTGTTGTTAAGAGCAATAAACAATTGCATGAAAATTAATTTAAAACAAAAACAAAAAAATGCAGACATTAAAATAAACAAAATTACGTAAAAAATTATACTAAATAAAGAAGCCGCAGAACAACAATGCAAACAAGTTAAATAAAGGAAAAAATAACACAAAACGCTGCGCAAAAATAAGAAGAACACGCGGCGATTACAATTACGTTTATTTAAAAAAAAATATACTATTTATCCTTTTATCCTTGTAATCCGTGAATCAACAAGATTATGAGACAATAGTGCCAAAAAAATTACAATAAATTAAATTCAACGAACCGAAGCTAGATGGAAACATTACTTCCTGTTTCTATCGGTATCGATAACAAATTTATATTGAAAATTAAAATATTAATTTTTTCTTGAAATACTTATTATTGAAATTAATAAGTACAACAATCTGAGGCTAGATGGGCATATGACATCCTATTAAAGGACTTCGTGCGCTTAACTAGTTTTAGGCACAGGGCTAATTCTATCGGTATCGATATCGATAACAAATTTATATCCAGAACAAAATATACATTTATTCTTGAAATATTACAAGAAATACATTAAATGAAGCTAGATGGACACATCACATTCTATTGAACGACAATTTCTTACTGACATCGATCACAATTTGTATTTATTAAATCGAGGCTTTATCTATATAAAAATATTGCAATAAATTAAGTACTACGAAGCTAGCTGGTTGGTAGACTTCCTGCTGTAGGACAATTACTATTAATATCGATATCTAATTTACATTGAAAAGAAATCTAAGAATTATCCTTGTAATATGATATTTTTATTATCTATCGGTATCGATATCGATAGTAAAAATATATTGAACAAATCGCTTTAACCTTAACAAATTTAGGATAGGAAAAAATGGAGAACGCGCTCTTCTTATTTTGCAATAGTTAATAGAAGTAGTTGGACACAAATCAATGCCATGTTTGAAATTTGAATCTTTAAAAGTTCCCAAGAAACAAGCAAATATCTTGTGTTGGAAATCGTGTGAGGTGTGTAATTAACAATACTGCCCTTTGCCAGTCAAAGAGCACGGAGTCAAAATTCATGTAAATATTATTTTGTTTTAGCCTTGAACAAAAACTGTGAATGCGCCCAGAGCGAATAGTTTAAGGGATTCTATTAAATCGCCTTTAAATGTAAATAAAATTTGATGCAGTCCGAGTTTTATTTTCATTTTGTTTTTACTGTGCTTCATTCTTGTTTTATGCGTTTCACACAATGCAATGCATTTTGTTTGCACATTGCCAACAATATCTGAATCAGGGTGTGTGTGTGTGTCTGAGTGTGTGCCTGGACGTAGTCGTGTGTGTGTTTTTGCATTGTGCAAGGCACGTCAAAGAGTGTTAATCAACGAAATGGCATCATAAATAAAAATGCCATTTCATATAAATCCTGTGATGCTTCAATCAAACAAAAACAACACAACAATTAGAGAGACAGAAAGAGAGAGAGAGAGAGAGAGAGAGAGAGAGAACGTGTGGGAGATGGGAATCGATACTCAATTTCATTTTATTTAAACAATAAATAAATAAATAAAATATTATCAACATAATAAAATAAATTGCATTCGCTTGGAGCTCACAAGAAAAAAAATGAAGAAAACAAAAACAAAACTCGAACCAACTGAAATTTAAAACGAATATGAAATGCCCTAAGCCAACATTGACTAAAAGAAAATTTAAAAGCATCAAAAGAAAATGCAAATAAAATGCATTTTATATAAATGTTTTTCTTTTTTTTTTTTTTTTGTGCGTCTGGTAAATTTATTAAAATTCACCTGCATTAAATATCAAATTCAATAAAAATTTATCAACAAGTTGGCAGCAGCTAACACATGAAAAGTCAGGCAAAAAATGCGACACAAAATTGATTTAATTTAAGCAGATTGAATAAAGTTTTGTTTAAAAAACGAAACTTTTTAAGCTTGATTTAATACGAACTTTAGGCACCTATTAGCAGGCTGTTGATGCCAGGTATGCAAAAATCCTTGGCTAAAGTTTAACTTAAGCCCAACTCACAGGCTAGACAATTTTCTGCAGATAAATTGGCAGCACTAACTTCCATTGATTGAAAAGAAAATACGGCTAAAAATACTAGTTTGAAGGCATTCCAGCTTTATTTTGCTGGAGCCTTCTTAAATACTTTTTCAAGCTTTAAGTTGTAAGAAACAAAGTTCAAATAATGCAACATAAATGACATTTAGTTAACATGTTATTTTCAGTTAAGCGTAAAGTTTAGCTCAAAATAATAAAAAAATAACGGAAGCCTAGTCTTAAGCTGACAATTTGTTAAGCATGCTTTTTGTATACGAAAGCCTTTAAACAAGTTGACAGCTGCGCATATCGGATTGTTAAATATGAGAGGAAATGAATGCAGAGTTGAAGATGAGATGTATCTCATGCCCAGCGAAAGGTTGGCTTCGCGATTGTTAAACAACGACTTCAACAACACGCAGCGAGTTAAACAAAGGCAGCGAGTAAAACGAGCAGCGAGTACAACAAAGGCAGCGAGTGCCGGGAACAACGAGTACGACAAACAAAATCGCATAATTGTCGCATTGTTTTCAGCCGCGTTTCATTTATTTTTATCTTAATTTAATCTCCATTACATTTCATTTTTTTTTTGTTAAATTTTTTTTTAATATATATGTATCTCTTTTCATTTCACATTGTTTTTTTTTTTTGGCAACAGAAATTTGAATAAAAATAAATTCAAGCGCACCGAGTTGAAACCGAAACAAACTTTGCACCATTTTCATAAATATACATACGTGTCTGTCTGTATGTATGTCTGACTGTATGTGATTGCTCGTGTTGTCCTCTATGTATGTGTAGAGTCCTCTATGTATGTGTAGTCCTGTAATGTCCTTTAGTCCTTTTAGCGCCGTAGTCCTGTATTTAGTGCTTTTGTATCCTGACTTTATGACATTTGCTCGCCGCTGTATTTGCATTTGCACAGAACAATTTATTTTTTCTGCATTTTTTCTCTTTTTTTTTTTTTTTGTTTTGGTATTCTTTTTAGTCACATTCACAATCGGCATCGGCATATCGAAATCCCTTGTTTTCGACTGGGTGGCAACTTCATGCTCTTCATGCCCCCGCACCGTTACTCAATAAATTTGCTTTATTGAGTAAATAAATAAAGTGACAGTCCGGCAAACAGACAGCCGTTCCCATGTCCCACACAATTCCCTGTCCTTTCCTGAATCGCTATTTATGGGTTTATAGCAGTTTTCCAACATCACTATTGACACGGCCCAAACAGTGGGCGGAGGCGTGGCAGTTGTCAGCATAGTCGCAGCTGCATTTGCATTCACTTTGTTTGCCTGTTAGCTCGAGCAGCTCCGGCAGCTCCGGCAGTTGTCATCAAAAATCAACCCATGACAGAGATTTTTCCGTGCAAATCACATGCAGATGGGTCTTAAAGTCGACTTAAAGTTCTGGCGTATCCGATATTATTTAAATACAATTTTGGCCTTTATTACCTTATTCCGTATGGCTTTCAGCTGAATTTGTCTTAACTTTTCAGTACACATATTTTCTCTTATTTAATTGTAAGATTTAAGATTTAAATAAGAAATTTTGAAAAATGTTGTAGAAATTTGTTTTCTATAAATATTTAAAAAGAATAACTGAAAAAATGTTTTTTTAACTTGATGTTTGTTTTTAACATATTTTGTTGACAATTAAATCAGTTAAGGGGTAAGATTAGCTCTATTATATAATCAGGATTGTTAAACCTATTAAAACCTGATTCTGGCAAATAACATGAAAGTATTTCTTTTGGAAAGTTATTGTTAGGCAGAGATTCAAAAGATCTGAAAGTCTACTGTCCGGCAGCACGATTTGCAATACTATTCTTTCAGTGTTGCAAAAGAAACCTTTTTTTTTTGTTGGAGATAAGAAAGCGACAAAAATACGATAGGGTCGTGTATGTATAATTCCAGATAGCTATAGATATACCTTAATTTTTAAATGCACGCAACACGCAGAATGTTGCACAATATCACATATTTTCTTTTCAAAGATATGAAAGCATTAATGAGAGATATATGTACATGATAATAGCTAGATGATTTCCGCTTACAACAAATATTCTTTGTGAAAAAAAAAGTGGAAAAACAATAATCAGTACGCAATAGGCAATATTCGCAGTTACCAACAACTTGCAACCACTGTGCGCAAAAAAAAAATGGAGAGAGAGAGAAACTTTAATTATAAGAGAAATGTAAACAAAGCGTTAAATTTGCCATCTCTGTTATACGCGCAATGTTTGCATATGAGGCTTTTGACTTTGTGATATTTTTGATGCCAAGCATTACGCGCCGGCAGAGGCTAGAAGCCGTTACGGCTGCAGCAGCAGCTTAAAGCTTTTAACTAAACTCAAAGAGATAGTCAGACGAGCGCACTGTGAGATTAGCACACATACACACACACACGGACACCCAGTCTCTCAGACTCTCTGGGATTAAGAGAGAGCATTCTTGTTCTGTTCGACTGAGTATGCGTGTGTATGTGTGTGTGGAGTAAACAGAGCCAGTTGCTGTTATTAGGCATTACGATAATGAAAACTGTCCAGCGACTGTTAAAATGTGGCGCGCCCCTCAAGGTAGGCAACAGTTTTTTTGTATTTGCGCTGGTATTCCCATTGAATATGCATGAAATGGGATGCATTGCAATTGTGCACAGATATGTAACAGTCAGAAGAAAGGGTATATACATACATGTATATGTTAAATGCATGTAAAAGGCAGGAGAGAAGATATATATATATATATATATTTAATGTATGTAGCATTCAGAAGAGAGGGAATTATATACATATATTTATGTTTAATATATGAAATAGGTAAGAGAAAGAATATATATATAAATTTTTATTTAATTATGATGAAGAGATGTTTCTTTTTTATAGAATTTTTAGTAGCAAGATTACAGTACAGGGCAGCTTCTAGTCGGTCTTTTTTTTTTTATTACTATGATTTTCTTTTTATTTAACGGTGTGTGTGTGTTTGTGTATGCTCGTGTTAGTTGTCGTTTGCATGCCTTAGCCTCGCCTCTAGCAACTGCACCCAAAAATCCTCACTATCCCCCGCCACCCCGCCCTTCCATATACATATCAAAAAAATATATATATATATATAAATTATACTTTCGATGGATTTTCTTCAGTTTCGTTTGCTAAAGAACATTATTTAAAAAGAAAAAAACAAAGAAATATCTGATCTAAGCAATGAAAATGCGGCCACAAATGTTAACTAATTTTTGTATGTTATCTCTTCTTCTTCGAAACACACACACACACACACACACACACACCCACGCACACAACAATCTAATACAATGGCCAACCGCAAAACCCAATTCCACTAATTGCACTTGAAATATCCGTAAACCAATTTCATATCCTTGGCCAAAAACGAACAACTTGCAAAAACTTGCGGCATCAACGAACAACAACAATGAACAACAACAATGAACAACAACAACAACAATGAACAATGAACAACAACAATGAAAATGGCGTCAAATTGCGCTGACATCTGACGACAACACCAAACGCTGCCGCCTGCAACCGGATTTTGGTTCTTGGGTTTGGTTTCGGGTTTGGGTTTTGTGTCTCTGGCAACTGGCAACTGGCAACTTTTTCGCCATTGTCAACGACACCGACACCAAACGACAACTTTTGTATCGTTGACACAAAAAACAAATCCCCCCCTCCCACTTATTCCCCATCCAACTGATGCCACCGCAACGAAACTTTCAACTAAATTCTAATATATCCGCAAATCGATTTCAACGAACTATCGAAAACACAAAAAAAAAAAAAAACAAACTAACTAAACGGAAATTGGTGAATGCGACGTTGATGATGCTGCCCGTTGACCAATAACTGCAACAACAACAACAACAAACAATAACAACAAACAACTCGCTTCCAATTTAACGTTTTCACGTTTGACAATGACAATGCGGCAAATGGGAATGGCTTGGCATTAACTATATGGCATCATGATGATGATGATGATGTTGATGATAATGATGATGACACCCTGATAATGACTCCCTAATGACATACCACAACAATCCACAACCCAATAATAATTGCCGCACAAATGTACCAACATCATTTGCAATCGTTAAAAAATTGCATCATTAATCTGCAATCTGCAAACTGTCAAATGAAACGACGGTAATGAAACGCCGTAACTGCTACGGCGGAATTGAAACGAATAAACATTTACTGTAAATAACAACTGTTAACAACAACAATGAAAATTGTAAATGCTCTAATGGAACATTTGGAAATGGAACATCATCTGCACAAAACAACTGTTAATCAAAACGATATGAATAAAACGCAACGTCTGACACAACGGAAATGAAACACAATGCAACACATGAACATTATATGCGTTGACCCAACCATAACTAACACAAAAATGCAACAATGTGAACTGAAACAATGAAATCAATTCATATTAACAAACAACTAAAACAACATCTCCAATTAAATTGATGGAAAATGGAATATGCGAATGAAATGAAATGAAACGATGGAAATGGAAATGAAACAACAACGAAATGCAACGCCAACGACATCAGGTCGCTTGGATTAAGGCCGATGCAAAAGCAATTCTGGCCATACACGAGCACGTGATAACGAACAATGATCGATTATCGGTGACGCACAACGATTACAACACCTGGACACTGAACATACGCGGCGTTAAGATGGAGGATGCCGGCAAATACATGTGCCAGGTCAACACAGATCCCATGAAAATGCAAGTAAGTATGCTAAAATATTCATTACCACAATATAATCATTTCCCGGTTATCGATAACAGTGCGCGTATTGAACCGATCTGAATGTTTTCTGTTATCTGTTATCGATAACAATCGAAAAACGAACCATGTACGTTAAGTAGATCGGCTAGCCACACTATTATACTTGATCTTTCCTTTAACTAAATAACTCATATTATGCCCATATGCCAAACGGCTGCTGTTATCGATAACAAAAACACCGATTTAAACGCATGTGCTTTAAGCGATATATATCGATGCTATCGATAACGTTTAAGCAGTGAGAGACATAATTGCGCAGTTAATAGCTAAATGAGCCAAAACAAAAACAAAAACAAAATCGAATCAAATATTTGCTCAGCCCCACCATAAATTGTTGTTTTAGCTGACAATAGTTGGCCTATCGATAAATTTGCCCTTTTTACAAAACTAACTATTGTGGACGAAAAATGAAATCCTTGAGCTAAGGTTGAGCCAAGTAAATGGATTTTGGTGTCAATAACTCGATAACTGCAATTTGCAAATTGTTCGCCAGAGCTGTCAACTCATTTGAAATATGAAAATATAAATATGTGTATTTTTAGTGTGGGTGAATGCACACGATTCAAAGCAAACATTCGGCTGCTTGGAGTAAATACATTTACAAATTTCTGTGAAATCCCATTATTAAACTATGCACTTGCCAGGCGCATAACGAAGTTTTATTTAAATTGTGAAATAGAAACCCTTGCTGTCCGCCTCAATGCTATCAAATTGCTTTGAACGCTTGGAAATGTGCCCAGAATATGCAAAAGAAACTTTTAACACGAGAAAAAAAGCAAAAATTAAGCTCAAAACAAGATGTGGAGTGTGCCCGACTAAGAAGTATATTTACTTTAGCTTTCAATCAAAGTTCCAATTCAAATTCGATGTGTCTAGCTCTGAAAACCATCGAGATATGCTTCAAACTCGATCGATTTTATCGAAATAATGAATATTCCGGAAGTTAAGAGAGATAAAATATATACGAAAGGTGTTACATATGCATAAAAACAATATACCCCTTGCCGCTCATATTCGATGGGTAAGCAAAAAGACGAAATGAAATGAAATGAAATGGAATTACTTTGGGCCTGCACTTGTCACATGCTTCTGACGGCATTTGGCAGCACTGGCGCTTGATTGCTGTGCGTGTGTGTGCGTGCGTGTGCGTGTGCGTGCGTGCAAGAGGTACGGGTAAAGGCAGTTTGCTGGCATTTAAAACGCGCTATTTAAACAATGAAACGCTTAAATGATACAAATAAATAACAAACAATGTGTGCGTCTGTGTGTGTGTGTGTGTGTGTGCATCGCGTTGCCAGACCGTCCACTGAATGCGCCTGGATATGTGCAGCATGCTTGCGCTCTTTCAATTTCATTTCGTTCCGTTACGTCACGTTTCATTTCGCCGCACAGCGTCCCATGGCGGCGGCAGCGACGGCGGCTGGTAATAAAATCAAGCTAACCAAGCGAATTGAGTGAAAGGCAAATATGAGACAAATAAAATGCAAACACGGGCCGCACGCAGTCAGCCGAAATCTCGACACAGGCAGCTCGCGCGACTGCCTTTTTTTTTAAGCCTTTTTCGAGGATTCGTTTGCTTTCTTTTTTCCCACGTCTCTGTTCTCTTCTATTCGCTCGCTCTCTGCACGCTTGGCACTTTTTCGGGAAGTTGACTTGATTTTATGACGTAACTGTCAACAGCAGAAGCAGCCGCAACAACAACAACAGTGCCAAAAATAATTTACAATAAAAGGCAAATGACACAGGCAAATACGCTAAACGTCACACATACATACGAATTTAACAGTTAGTCTAAGTGCTGATTGCAGCAGCAAATCATGCACATATCTACATACATATATGTATGTATATGTATGCGTATGTACGAGTGCGGAGCAGTATACATACATATATACATATATAAATGAGATGTTACAGTTATCTGTCGCGCTGCTCTTGAGCCGAAGGCAGCATAGGAAAAAGAAGAAAGGCAAAATATTTTATGTTCTATGCGAGTTTTTGGCAACTAACTCTTGCAAAATGAATACAAGTCAGATAATATCCAATTGCTACGTGCGCAATACACACACACACATACACACACACACACACCATAGCTAAATTCCAATTTGGTTTATGCTTATGAAATCTACATATGTATGTACATACCCAGCTTTATGACGTCACAGAACACAGCAGCGTGATCATTGAAATCTTAAGATGCGCGCAATATTTAACTGCCTTAATAATTATGTTAAACACAAAAAAAAAAAACATGTATTAGCACACACAAATTTGCACACACGAAATACTTTTAGCCCGCGAAACACTTATCGAAAGAAACGCAGTTTAAGGAAAACAACCGAAGCTGCTCGCTCTCGAGCAATTACAAAAATCTAAGCGCGCGCCCGCCGCCAATGCTACGCTCTAGCACGAATATGGGGAGAGAGAGACAGAGAGGAACAATATTAACTTACCAAATCTCTTAAGTACAAGCGTGATGCAAGCTGCCGCTCTTACATTTTGTCATCTGCTTTGCTATTTCTCTTCTGTTTTTGTTTTTTTGCCTACGACAAAGATCATGCAGCAAAAGTCGATTAAGCTTGGCCTTGCATATGTTAATGAGCGAGAGTGAGAGGGATATAACATGTAATTCGCACAGTAGAACAAATTTGCTGAAACTGCAATAAAAAAGAAGTTACTTACTTATACATATGCATATATATGTCAATAAAGTTTATTTTTTTTTTTAAGAAGTAATAAAATAAGATTTATTGCTACATGTAGAGAGATCAAAATGGAATTATCCATAAAAAAAAACGTCATTGAAAAATGCAAAAATACTAAAATACCAATTTATGTTCATTCTATTGTTAAAGACAGCCACACTGGAGGTTGTTATACCGCCGGACATAATAAACGAGGAGACCTCCGGCGATATGATGGTGCCCGAGGGCGGCTCCGCGAAGCTGGTTTGTCGCGCCCGCGGCCATCCCAAGCCGAAGATCACCTGGCGGCGCGAGGACGGGCGCGAGATAATAGCACGGAATGGCGTGCATCAGAAAACCAAAGGTGAGTCGAACAGTGTGGCCGCGCTACAATATCAAACTGTGTGACCGCATGTCAAACTCTGGAAATTTTCTGTTCCATTTTCACGCAAACACAGCCATCTTGGTGGAGGGTGAAATGCTGACGCTGTCGAAAGTCACGCGATCGGAAATGGGCGCCTACATGTGCATCGCCTCCAACGGGGTGCCCCCCACTGTCAGCAAACGCATGAAGCTACAGGTGCACTGTGAGTATATGCCAAACAAACTTGTCCAAGCTAGCCGAACTATTATATACACTGTCCCAGAAATTTTAAATATATACATACATATACTCCTGCAACCTATGCAACAGGAGTTTATTTCTTCTATTGATAGTCTACGTCGATAAATATCAATGAATATCGATTTGTATATATCGATAAATATCGATTTTATCTTAAATCTTAAATATTACAAGAGAAAAAATTTAGTATGAACAAAGGATTTTGATCGAAGTTGCATTATCTGACACCATATATTTATCGATAGCTTATGCTATCGATAAATATCGATTTCAAATTAGAATTTTGAGAATTTTTAGAGGGCATCTGCCAGTCGGTCAGTGTACAGTCTTCTGCTGCTATTGATAAATGACTTTTTGGCTGGCTGCTAACAAATGCTTTGATTTATAACCCCAAACGCCAGGCGCTACAATAATATTCATAATGTCTCGGATGTGCGTGCAAGTCTTTTGCACCAGCTACGACACCCTACCCCAGCCTAGCTACACCCTACTTTAGGCGGCGGCAACCGCAGCATAACGCAATAACGCGAACTGCAAGTGTTTCCGTTTCGATTTCCGCCGCCTTTCGAGGCGCCAAACGCGCCAAATGCATTAGGACAGCGGCTAGCTGCAGGAGTGGCAGCGAGTGGCAGAGGGGGAAAAAGGTTGGGGAACGGGGGAGGGGCGTCTAGACGGGCGGCACTTGGCGCAAACGTCACGTTTCTGTTGTAAAAGTTGAGCAGCTTTTCGCCCGTGTATCATGTGACCAGGGAAATTGTGAATGGGGCAGAGCATACAGCCCCCCTCCCCCCTACCCACTGTGCGTACCAGCGGCTGCTGCAGCGCATTAAACTTAATGAAATTTTTCTGCAAAGGGGCAACAACAGCAAACAAAAAGTTAAAGAGGCAGAAATAGCGTGTGGGTGTTGGGACAGGTAAAATTGAATATATGTACATATGTATGTATGTATATATGTGTATGTGGGTAGAGGTAGGGTAGAGTAAGGGGGGCGTGGGCGTGTGCCTGTCTCCCAGGCAAAAGATTCTATCTGCAAATTATATTGACACGGCCAAAATGTTCGCACCTCAATGGGCGGCAGCTGCTGTGCGAGTGTGTGTGTGTGTGTGTGACACACTCTATGCCCTACTCAAACGTGCCCCTTCCCACCTCTTGCCACCACCCCCCTGGCAACGCGGCTCTGGCAAAGCGTCTGTCGCCGCCGCCGCAAAAATTAATTTCCATTTTTTTTCCGTTATTTTTTTTTTTCTTTCTCATTTGCTTTTTTTCTTTTTCTTTTTCATTTCATTTTTTCTTATCTTCTTTCTTTTTTTTTTGTTTGATTTCATTTCATTTTCGTGTCCTCTTCTGTCTGTCTATCAGTCATTCGTCGCCCCGCAGCCCGCGCCCCCCGCCCTGCACCCACGCTTGCTTCTTTATTGCTTTTGGCTTTTGCGAGTGCGTCTCAATTTCAATTTAAAAACTCCATATGCTCGCATACCGACCCATCCCCCCACCCCCCGCCCTACGCTTACCACACACCACTCTCCTCTGGCGCAGTGCAAGCATCTCTTTTACCACAACTTCGCCCTCGCTGCACAGAAAACCCCGTTCCCTGATTTCTTTTGCTCTTTGACGTTGTTTTCGTTTTTTTCTTCTTCTTCTTCTTCTGCTCACGTCTTGTTGTCTTAACCTGACAGCAACAGCCACCCCTTTGGCCGCCCGGCAGCCCCCTCTGGGGCCTGTCCTTGGCGCATTTACCGCTTGATTTCTTAAGCGCTTTGCTTGATTGATTTTAATCAGAAAATTAAGTGGATCCTTGGCTTTTAAATTTCTCCAGTACAAATAAAAGGCTGACAGGCTGTCAGCAGGGGATGAGCACAAGGCGAGACAGCAAAAGAGAAATAAAAAAGAAAGTGGAGGTGAGAGCATTCATTAAAACTACACTTTGCATTTACCCAGAGACACTTTAAAAGCTATCCTTTTTTTTCTTCTTTCCCGGACGTAAAGTAAAGGAAAATGTTGCCCGAGTGAGAAAATTGAAGGTCAAAATAAATTAAGAAAATGGGTTTTGGGTCAAAATATTTACTTAAATTTAGAAAATGTACTTATTTGGGAAATGGACTTGTCATTGTCATTGTCATTGTCATTGTCATCGTCATTGTCATTGTCATTGTCATTGTCATTGTCATTGTCATTGTCATTGTCATTGTCATTGTCATTGTCATTGTCATTGTCATTGTCATTGTCATTGTCATTGTCATTGTCATTGTCATTGTCATTGTATTGTCATTGTCATTGTCATTGTCATTGTCATTGTCATTGTCATTGTCATTGTCATTGTCATTGTCATTGTCATTGTCATTGTCATTGTCATTGTCATTGTCATTGTCATTGTCATTGTCATTGTCATTGTCATTGTCATTGTCATTGTCATTGTCATTGTCATTGTCATTGTCATTGTCATTGTCATTGTCATTGTCATTGTCATTGTCATTGTCATTGTCATTGTCATTATCATTATCATTATCATTGCAAAATATGGTGGTCTCTTAAGGCGATCGTAATAATAGCTCCATTATTATTTCATTATCATTATAATTGCAAATATGGTAGTTTCTTAGGCTTTTTGGGATCGTAATAATAATTTTATATGATTTCTATCTATTTAATATTAATTTGTTTATGCTCCCCGGCTTATTTCAATTTCTATATAGAATAATAATCAAAATATTATATAAAAAATAAGTTTCGTACAATTACTTCCTAGTTTATTCATCTTTTTCTTAAGTTTTCTCTGTTTTGGTTTTTCACCTGATCGCATGTCAAGTCGCCGTTAGAGCAAATAAACACGAAGATCAAATAGACGAACAGCTGTGTTATTGGACTCAACTCGGACGCGATCTGTACAGGTCGCTTGGGTAAACACAGACGAGTATGTGAGTGAGAGGGAGAGAGATTAAGAAAGCGGGGGGATAAGAGAGATAGAGGGTTGATGACGCAATTGTTTTTGCCATTGAAGAGCAGAAAGCATACAGCTAAGCATACAGCACATGACGTAGAGCCTAGGCATTAGACCCCAAAGCATTTGACTATAAAACCCCAAAGAACTGGGCTAAACCCAAGTCAGTTCCCAACTGCGAGTCAGAGAGTATGCGCACCTACATCCTTGTCACATTGTTCGCCGTAGTGGCCGTGGCAGCTGCACAGGGCCCAGGCGGTGGACGCGGCGGTCCAGGTGGTCCTGGTGGTCGCGGCGGTCCCGGTGGCGCTCGTGGCCCGGGTGGTCCCGGTGGTCGCGGTCCAGGTGGTCCTGGAGGTCCTCCTGGTCGCGGTCCAGGCGGTCCAGGCGGACCTGGAGGTCCTCCTGGTCGCGGTCCAGGCGGTCCAGGCGGACCTGGAGGTCCTCCTGGTCGCGGTCCAGGCGGTCCAGGCGGTCCAGGCGGACCTGGAGGTCCTCCTGGTCGCGGTCCAGGCGGTCCAGGCGGACATGGTGGACACGGCGGGCATGGCGGACACAAGCGTACCACCACCACCGAGAGCAGCACATCCACTGGCACTGATAGCACCACTGTGGCTAGCACCACTCTGGCCAGCACCACGGAGGCGAGCACTACAGTCGCCAGCACAACCGAGGCAAGCACCACAGTCGCCAGCACCACTGTGGCCAGCACCACCGAGGCAAGCACCACAGTCGCCAGCACCACCCTGGCCAGCACCACGGAGGCGAGCACCACGGAGGCCAGCACCACAATCGCCAGTACCGCAGCTGACAGCACCACCGAAAGCAGCACCGCGAGCCCAACCACCGGTTAAGCTGCTTCTTTCTCATCTTTGGCACTTTTGAAAATGTATTTGAATAAACGCATAAAAATTCTTATGTAAAAACCTTCTTGGTTTTATTTTCGCTATCTAAAAACCGACCCCATAAAGCATATAGTCAAATGCGTTGACCGTGTACATCAAATCGATAAAACTGCACGGAGAGATACCCTGTTTAATATTTCGTTTATTAAATCTTTGAGCCACACTTTCCATGTAAAAGGGTTCGAATTTGCGAAAAACGTATCAAATACATTTGTTACAATCATTTTTGAAAATGATTTTGAAGCCAAAGCAAAAAGTTGCTAACTTCTCCCCAATTTTCCACAGTTGCGGGTGGAACTTCCACATTCCAAGAGGCGCGGATTATGCGATATATGTGAAACACCTCTCGAAATGAATTTGAACAGAAATCTTTTAAAATGAGCTTGAGGTCGGCCGTTATAAAAAATGTTTTCATGCAACTATTTCTCGCCAATTTTCCACAACCCGGATAGAATTTCCCAAAGCTCCGTGACAGCTTTTTAGCTCTTATGATCATCAATGAATCAGTCAGATCATATAGTCAGTCAATCAGTCAATCAGTCAGTCACTCAGCTAGTCAGTAAGTCAATTAGTCAGTCAGTCAATCAGTCAGAGAAGCCCCCAACTGCCTTTTACATACACTTGCACACAACTGGTATACCCGTTTACCCATATTAAATGGGCTTAGGGTATGAAAATTACACATACGCCGCGTGTGGCGCTTTGTAATTTCAGCTGCTGCTGCTGCTGTTGCTGCGGCTGCTCCTGTAACAGCTGCAAAACTTTATTAGAACAAATTGCATTTTCAATAAGTGGTAGGCAATGCAACAAAAACAAAAACAAAACACAAGTAGAAGAAGAAGACCCACAACAACAGCGAAAGAGAAGCTAAGAGATTGGAGCAGAGATTACAGCACATGCGACGCTAACAGCACCATGACATATGCTACATTATTTGGAGAACCACACACAAACACACACACACACACACACACACACATGGACACACACACGCACACACACACACACACAAACATGAAAGGCATGCACAAATCCAATAAATTGACCAATAATGAACGGTTGAACGCAAACAATGCCAGGAGCCAGCGGGAGCTGACAGTTGGAACGCGGTGGGAGGTGCAAAGAGAATAAGAAAAAAAATACAAATAAATAAATAAAGGAAACACAAAAACATGAGAAACCAAAGTTGAAAAGCCAAAAACAATGATGGTCAGTGGCAAAGCTCAAGACAGACCCAAAAACAACAGAAAAAGAAAAGAGAAAAAAAAAGAATTCAAAAAAAAACCTCAAGCTGACACAAAAGCGAACACAAAAGCAAGCAAATCGCCAAAAAAATGCAAGTCATGCAACAGCAGCAGCAACAGCAGCTGAACGAATGCGCAAATACGCTACCTAGGCTTACGTAACAGAATGCTAACAGTGTGTTTTAACAGTAGCTAACAGCATGTTCAGAGAATGCTTACAGTATGTTATCGAAAAAACAGGTTAACCAAGCCCTAACATGGATGGAACAGAATGCTAACAGAGTGATAACAGTATGTTAAACAAGTGTACAATTTAATTTAATTTGATTTGATTGAGGCAACATAACAGCATGCTAACAGTGTGCTAACAGAACGCATACAGTACGTAACGAAAAGGCAGCTTACGAAACAGAATGCTAACAGAGTGTTTCATTCAATTTGATTTGTTTGAGATAACTTAACAGCATGTTAATAGCAGTTTGCTAACAGAAGGTTTTCAATTTTAAATAAATGAATTTTAGCAGACTCTTTACATATGCTAAACATGACACAATATGCCTAATAATATTCCCATTGCCTTCACTGTAAGCTGCGTAACTAATATGCTCGCTCAAGCTAAATGCAATGGGTACAGCCAAAGAGATACTGCGTGGGGAGGGGGAGGGGCGCTACTAACAGCAAAATAATTCATTTTCAATTAAAATCGTATCAGTTGCCGTTGCTGCCATTAACAAAATAACGGCATTTCACAGGGTTTATCACAGCATCAAAATCGCTTTTGAACCAATGCGCTGGCTCGCAAGCTAATTGCCCGCCACGACGGGCGGAGGGCAGGACTTGGTTATCTGTTGCATCCAGTTGGCAGCTAGATGATTATGTTGACCAACTTGTTCAACCACTTTCCCTCTCTCCCTCTCTCTCTATCTAACCCTCTCTAATACTCTCTCTCTCTCTCTCTCTCTCTGTCCACAGTTCATCCGCTGGTGCAAGTGCCAAATCAATTGGTTGGCGCTCCGGTTCTAACGGATGTCACATTAATTTGCAACGTGGAGGCATCACCAAAGGCCATCAATTACTGGCAGCGCGAGAATGGTAAGTCTCCTGGCTTTGCCTTATTGGTTTATTGGCGATTTTTTTTTGTATTCTCATTGTATTTTCACCTTTTTTGTGTTAAAAACTCGGCACGTAGCATACCCTGTGCTCATGTAAAATGGTTTGAAGACAAGGTTGACAGATCTGTAGAAAATTGCCAATTTTTCTGCATGGCAAAATATATGTCTACTTTATCGATATATTATCGATACATTGTGATATATAAAATATAAAATATCGATATATAACACATTTCGTATCGATATATTAATTCGCCTGGCTAAAACTTGTATTTTTATTGCATCGATAAATCGATTAATTTTTGCAATTTATATCAAACGCCTATCGATAGTAGTTCCTATAAAATGTTTCTGTATGTTTTCTCACTTATTCTTTTTCGTAACTGTTGCGACTAGTGTATTCATTGCATCGATAAATCATTTTATTGTAGCAAGTACTATATATCGGTAATAGTTGTTATCGATAATATACCGATTTATTCCTTAAGCTTTCTTCCCATCTGTCATATCAGACACAGTATGGGATAAAAACGATATACATCCGAGCGATATTCGAATCGAATTGGTGCATTTGCTCTTATCAAATTACTTATCGATATGTCGCTATTTTCTTGCAATATATCGATAGTCGATTATCGTTAATCGATTTTTACAACTTTTAATCAAAGCTCTCAATTCCCAATGTGAATCTGAGCACAGGTATTTTTGGAGTCGTGCTCGTCTTGCTCGGCTTTCGTTTCTACTCTTTCACATGGCTTTTTTTTTTGTAAGTTTTCCTGTTTTTGGTCGTTGATTTTGAGAAAGCGAGAGAGGGGTAGAGAGAGAAAGAGGAAAAGAGACAGCTGAAGCTTTATAAACCCTTCAATGCCGCAATTTGTCTTTATTTGGTTCGTGTTCGATGCTCAAATATTTTCTTGCTGCCCGGCAACTTCTGGAGCCTCTAGAACCTCGCCCTGTTTTTTTTTTTTTTTCTTTAACTCTTCTATTTTCATTTTTTGTTCTTTGGTGTCAAGTGCATTCGACGTATATTGCAAACGTGACATGGCATGGCACGAGCTGCCATCATTCAGCCAGAGGTCTGCAGGCATCGCAAATGTCATCATCAAAATGGACTTTTCGCTTCAGTTTCCTTACTCCCTCTCCTTGCCACATTCCAAATTTTCATCTGCCTTCGCCTTTCGTATTTTGTTTTTTTTTTTTGCAGGTGAAATGATTATTGCCGGTGATCGGTATGCGCTCACCGAAAAGGAGAACAACATGTACGCCATCGAAATGATTCTGCATATCCGGCGACTGCAGTCGACCGACTTTGGCGGCTACAAATGCATCTCGAAGAACAGCATTGGGGATACCGAGGGAACCATACGATTATATGGTAAGTTGACGAGAGCACAATATGAACTAGTTCCTTGTTTAAATGAACTGAGCTTGCCAGCCCGATTGGCATCAATAGCTTTTTCATGTATGCTGTTTGTTCAAGCTTAAATGAGGCCAAGATCTTTGAATATTTATTGAAAATTTGAACTACCATTTTTAGGCAGGACTAACTAATGAACTTGTTCTCTGATCAGTCTGATGTTAGCTAAAAAGTTAAATGCCTTTTGCTTTATTCTTTTGCTGGACTAATGCAAATAGTCAATTGATGTGGTTATTAATAAAATTAACTGCTCTTTTGTAGGCCTTGACTTGTAGCTTACAGTTCAATTAATGAACTAGTTCGTTAAGTCAGTCGGGACTTTTCCGATAAAACTGATGAAACTTAATGCTCAAAGTCCACATAATTCTCTTGTGAACAACTTCGAACCGTTTAATTAGCTGGAAATCTTTCTCACTCTTTTAATCTTTTTGGTGTTTTAGCAGGAACGAGTTCTTTAGTAAACAGCAACTTTTTACTATTTATATCATGTTTCCTTAACATGAACTTTGACTCATTTGAACCGGTTCATTTCTGGTTTTTTACTAAAGTTTTCGATTTTTATTTACTTTTACCCTCAGAAATGGAACGTCCGGGCAAAAAAACTCAACGCGAGGAGGATCTTAATGAAGTGACGGTAAGCCAAGCATATAATACACATACCACACACACACACACACACACACACACACACACGCACCCTACACAGACACATACAGAGAACACATTTTATTAAATATTATTTGTGTGGAATATGCATTTACTTTGAAAACTGGCTGCAGAAGAATGAGGTGGTGCTGAAGGAGAACCGGCACGAGGATGGGTCGCGCAATCAGAATGGTCGCCTGTACAAGGACCGCAGCCAGGAAGCGGACATCGGCAGCGGAGCAGCCGCAGCCGCAGTCGGTGGCTGGTCAAGAACAATGCAGCTAATAAAGCCATTTCTATTAGCTCTATTTGTATTATTAACAAGCAAATTGTGCGGCCAAACAAAGGGCAAACGGGGCTGGGGCCAGCAAATGGAACTGGAACTGAAACTGGAACAGGAACAGGCATGGGCAACTGAATTTTCGTATAGAGTCGAAAGATCAACGACAAGGACAATGGGCATGGCCGGCCGTTGCCAGGGCAGCAGTCGTTACAAAGGCCGTTCAATATTATAGCTTAATTAAATTGTTATTATAAGAAGCCTAACAACAACAACAACAATAGGAGATCTGCAAGCCCGCCCTCTCCACAGAAATAGACAAACAATAGCTACCGAGAGGCGAGTTCTTTTTTCTTTTGATTCAATTCAATATGAAAAAAAAAATACACGTATTGCATAAGTAGTTAAGATTAAATGGAAAATGACAAAAAAAAACGCGTTTAAATGTTACCTCGTTAGTGAAAAAAAAAAGAAAGAAAAACTTAAGTAAGATATGTCAAAGTTCATATGTTAATCTATTTGGTTCCAACAGGCTTTAGCTACTTCAAGTATTATATTAACGAGAAAGCAGAACGAGCTTCGGTTCGCCGAAGATTCAATACCCTTGCAGACAGCCAAGCGGAAGAGGTATGTCACAATATACTCTGATTTTTGCCCTCTTATAAGTAGTTGTCTGATATTGATATTGATATAGATTTTATGTCTACTTTTGTTTTTTTTTTTTTTTAAATCAAGCAAATCGCAGCACTAGGATGCATTAACCAACACTAGATTTAGGAACTTCGGAGTATTTATCAGCACTAGAACTTATTTGTCTTTGCATTGCCCATCACTAGGTCTTTGCATTGATTTTTGCTCGCATGTTCCGAGACCTAGTGTTGGTAAATGCTCCCTAGTTCCGAAACCCAGTGTTGCTTTCTAGTTCCGAAAACTAGTGTTCCGAGACCTAGTGTTGGTTCACGCGCCCAAGTTCCGATTTGCTCAACATATATAAAAAAAAAAAAAAAAAAAAAAAACTAGCAAATTTTAATTTGAATTAGAATCAAACTTTCGACGAAAAGTTCCTATGAAATCCACAAAAAAAGCTAAGTCCGTTTAATAAGATTTTGCGCAAATCAAAGATTTTTAATTGCTCAATTTTTAAAAATTTTTAGAAAAGATTCAAGTCAAAATATACAATTTTTCAAAAATATTTCAAATGCTTTATATCGATCCGTTTTGGACAATAGTTTGAATAAGGTTAAGGTAAAATAATGTGTTGAGTATAATTAAAGAAAAACAAGAATGTGTTCATAAGAAATCCCTGAAAATTCCTATAACTATATAACTATATGCTTTACCGATCCGATTCGAACCAATATATTAGCTATCTTATTAATAATAAAAGATATTTCGCCAAGTTCCATCAGAAGAAAAGTTCAGTTTACATGGAACACTTGGAATACCCTCTGCAAGGATATGAAAAAAAGAAAATCCCAAATCACAAGCATAACATAAGTAATATCTTGAATACCTAATGAAAAATGAGACTCCCATTGAGCGCACCCCCATATCAACCCATTCTAGTTGTCTAAAGTTTCATTCTTTTAGGTTTCGTAAAGTGTTTCATGTTTGTGTATGGTTAGGTTAAAGGGGGGGGTTGGCCTGTATATACAATTAGATATACCATATCTATGGAATATTTCAGCTCAAATCATATTATTAATACATGTTTAGGCAATTAAATGGCATACGATATTGTAAATATTCGCACCAGTAGTGTTCTACACAATTTTTTCTAGTTGATAAATATTTTTTTTTTTACTTTTGCTAAAGTTTTGTTCAGTTTATTGATAATAACCTCTTCAAATGCCGCTAAATATTTGGAGCTACACGATTTTCCCAGCTGCTTTCGCTTAAAACCACAACAACTGGTTCACACGATGGTTCAAATATTGATATGCGCAGCGAGACTGGTTCAAATGCGCATTTAATCTTCTACATCCAATCAAAAACAACTGAACTGGTTCACTGAACCTAGAATTTGCACATAAAATCTCATATCTATATTTCAATTTGCTTAAACGGTTTGCTCTTTCGTGTCAAACACGATTAATGGTTCAATTATTCAAGTGAATTTGCACTGGGAAAAAGAATACAAGTTCGAATAGTTCGTGAAATTCAAACTGATTTGGAACAGCACCAATTGAACCAGTACGAATCTACGCCACGCGAATCTCAACAGCTTTGCTTTATGGACTTAGTTCGAAAGAACAGAAATAAAATTTGCTCAACAAAACCGAAAATGAACCAGTAATAAAGACCCTTGGTTAACTGCGCTACACTGAACTAGTTAAAATGAACAAATTCGCATAGGCAAATTGAATATGATGAGCTAGTTCCACGATCTCCCTTTCCCACTCTCTTGGCTGAACCGTTTTGGTTCATTAACTTAGCTCAAAAGAAAATGAACCAGTTCGATCTTGTTCAAATGAATCAGCTCACATAATCAAATTGAACCAGTGCAAAAATTGAATGAGTCATTTTTACGATATTCCCAACCAAATAAATCGCTCTCTCCCTAAACTAAACTAACATACGTAAATGCATATGTGTCTGTATGTGTATGTATGTATATGTGTTGTATATGTATGTGTATATGTATTTATGCAATACCAACGTGTGCGCGTTCAGCTTAATTCAATGTTCAATATTGTGTATAAATATGCAACAAGACAGAAAAATGTGCCAAATGCATCTAAACCAAAAAATAAACCACAAAAAAAGATATATATAATATAAAAGAGATATGTATGCGTGTTCGATATTCAATATAGCAACAATAAAATCAAATAAATGAACACATATTTGTAACTAAGTATAATAATCATTAGCCCGAAAATAACTAAGAGCAGGAAATAACAAAGAAGCTACAATAAATAATACACAGATTTGTGACATGAATCGGATATGTTCTAAATTCTAGATCCTCCCCCCCAAAAACCAATTGCTACTTAAATAAAGTACTACCGATTAACCCAGACGTACTCTGACTTAATATACGTACCAAAAGATAAATCAATGTATTAGTGAAAATGTGAGCGGAAGCTGAGGACAGGCACAGCGAGGCAGGAAGAGAGATAAAGAAAACAAAATTTTAAAAATAATAATACAAGTTTATATACCTAATATACATATTATATATATATATATAGTATATAGAAAAGATTGAAGTTTTTTTTTTTTGAGATAAAAAAGATATCGCATAGCAAATCAAAGTTACATATATAAGTAAAATATACCTAAATCAACCAAAATTATATTTAGCAAGAATTCAAAGAGATCAACTCTGATTAAAGCTAAGTAAAAGTTAACTAAGTTCTTCATGTGAAAGCCCCATTAAAAACTATTACATAATATAATAAAAGAAAACAGACAAAACAAAAAACGTAATGCATTCAATGTCTACGCTACAGTACATCTCCCAAAAACAAATAAAAAAAAACTATAAAAATATTTATAAAAAATACCAAAAACTTATAAAAAAAAAATTCAATTTAAGAGTGAAAATACTCGAAAAGTACGCAAAAACTACTCATTGAAAAAATACACAAAACTATGAATTACAATAAACGCAAACGAAAACAATTTGAAATGTGTTACCAAAGTTTCAGCATTATGCATACTAAATATCTGAAACATTTAATAGATCGGCAACCAAATTGTCTGTCCCTATGTTCATGTATATATGAAAATTATTTGTAATTTATAATTTTTATTGTAAATTCTGATCAAACACACACAGGAACAACAAAATGCCCCCAATATGCAAATAAAAAATTGATATATAATAAACAAGTGAACAACTGGAAAATAAATGCAAAATAAAGAAAAATACGTATGGAAAAAATGATGGCAATTGAAATTTTTTAATAACTGCTAATATTTGCTGCACAGTATTTTTTTGTCTTCTGTCTTTTGGAATTTTAAATGCTATTTATTAGTTCAACATGCCAGCACGGAAAGTGCAAAGTAATTTGTAACTTTCGCTTTTACATGAGCTTTAACATGGACTTTTACACGACTTGCATATGATCTTCAGCATGAGCCTTAACGTGAGCTTACAATGCGCTTAAAAAAAATTTAAAAATGGAATTTAACATGCGCTCTAATGGACTTTAACATAGATTTTGCCATGAGCTTTACCATTATATTTAACGTGGACTTTAACATGGGCTTCATCATCAGCTTTAAAATAAAGTTTGTATTGGACTTTACCATGAGCTTAAGCATTGACTTTAACTTGAGGCTTAACAGCAGCTTTAGAAGGGACTTTAAAATGAACATAAACAAGACTTTTAGCATAAGCCTTGCGCTGAGCTTCAACAAATACTCTAACATGAGCTTTTCAACTGGCGTATGCTGTCATAACGCTTGAATATTATAAAATAAAAGCTTTGGATCATCAAAAAACTCGTAAGTATTCCTTAGATACATTTTAAAAGTAACATTATGAAATACTAGAAGAAACAATCTTCAACGAGTTCTCATCAAATCATCTTGAATAAAGTATGAAGTGATGGATACTAGCTTAAAATGAATGTTAATCTTATTTTAGGAGCTAGTTCGTAGCGGAAGCAATGAAACTTTCCCTCACAAGAAGTATACAAAAATTACATATTTATACACTTTTTACTTAAAATATGGGAAAAAGGGTGAGTAAGAAACTATCAAATTCCAAGAACAGTTTGACACTGTGGCAACACTGTAAGCCCCTAAATCAACTTGGATTTAGTTTAAGTCCTGGAACTTTGACATTAAGCCCCGGCAGCAGCAGCAGCAGTAGCAGCAGCTTGACTTGGCAAGCACTTCAATTTGATGCACTTAAAGAGGACCGCCCACACCGCCGCTCTCCCCCCTTCCCATTCCAGACAGGGACTGCAGACATGACAACGTGGCAACTCTGGCCGCATGGTTTGGGAGGCTTGAGTTGCGCTGTAGACGACATCAAATCATTAGCAGTGCATAAAGCATGAAACCAGACACACCTACACACACACACACACACAAATACACACACCCCACACACACACATGGATATGCTGATGAATTTAAACTATTAGACAAACGTGAGACGAAGTGAAGCTAATGCCACGCCCGCTCGCCCCCTTCTTCTGTGCGCTTTGTCCGTCTGGATTTTGGCTCTGCCCTGGCTGCTGATTCAGATTCACATTCGCATTCCCATTCTGGTTCTGGTGCTGGGTCCGCTTGGCATAACCTGCACATTGTTACGTTGGCACAAACGAAATCTTTGACTGTGGCAGCTAAAATCGACTAAGCCTTCCCCTTCCGCACACTCCCACACACATCCCCCGGCCCAATTTAGCTGCACATGTAAAAGATGCAAATGTTAAGATATTATTTCCATTTGCATTGCCTGTGCCAGCCCCCCCCCCTCCCCCCTCCCTACCCGTAAACAAAAAACAGGAAAAAACGAGAAATAGTATATCTTCGGCACGGCGAAGATTTAATACCCTTGAAAATATTTGCCTTTGTGAGAAAAATGAAGCTCGCTCTTATTTATTCTATAGAGCTATATAACATATGCGATACCTTTAAGAAATATTTGGCAGCTATCTTCTTCGATGCGTTACATATTTCACGACAAAATTATAATACCCTCTAAAAGGGTATGAATACAAGAAAAAACAAAAAAAAAAAAAATGCGACTCGGAACAGGAAACGGCTACAGCTCAGTCTCTGGCAACATTGTCACACAAATTATTCATTTTGCACTCGTTTCTTTGCACTTGTAAAGTGTGAGATGTCGGCAAATTGGCTATGCCCACTTTATAGCTGCGCATGTAACAAAGATTCGGAAACGCATTTCTATTTCTCATATGTGTGTGTAGTTGGAGAAATACTTTGGATAATAACCAATTGTTTATCGCAGATCTTTAAGGCTTAGAGTTGCAACATTTGGTATATAAGTATATAATTAAAAACATTGTAGATATATATACTAATCAGCTTTTAAA